CTATGGTCACCCCTCGGGGAATGGCAACATTTTGGTTTGGAATGGACGACGCCCAAATATTCCGTCGGGAACAAATGATTAATGCGTTATATGATATGATCAAAGCTATTTCAGGCTGACCGTTAGTAGTTAAACGCCAAAAAAGAATTGCTTGGCGTTATTGAGACACTCGATACTATTTTCACGCCCATTCGAAGAGAAGATTAAATAATTATTTAACTAAAGGAGATTATCAAAATGTAATATAACTTTGATTTTTTTCTATAAAAAAAACAAAAACGTTTCCGTTAACATTTTTTTTCACTGTTGTTCACGAAATAAAAGGCATAAGAACCACTCAAGGTAGATGGTTAATGAATGATGTTTTTAATGAAGTAAAAAGGACAGATTATGAAGTTCAGTCAATGAGGATATGTAAGCATGAGGAGGTTAAGATGGTAGTCATCAAGGAAACATCCGCTCCGGAGTCTATGCACCGAAGCAGTTGCTCTACTGAAGAAACTCACTTCACTGAACACGCTCCTAACCAATGAAATGCGACAAGAATAGGGATAATTCAAACCTGTGTACATAGCATAGCGGTATTAGATGCAAAGGTCTGCGCCGGTGCAAGTATACAGTGTAACGGGTATTAATATTTTCCCTTGAAACAGAAACAGGACGAGCGAGGCCCTTACGACGTTTTGCCTACGTTAAAGTGGCAGTCAGTTGGAAGTTCTAGCAAACCGTTTTGGATTCCTTCAAGGGTGGAAAGTGATGATCAGCCTGTTGCGTCCGAGATATCGCAGTAATACTTAATTTTTGGAATTTACAGCCATATCAGGTTGAGACGCCGTTTCCCGGATAATCACCAACATTAAGCAACGTCATGCCTGGTCAGACCGCTTTCTGAATATCACGTGCAGTAAGCTTCGATGCGAGAGTGTAAATGGATAACGGCTCGGAATTTGAAATCGGAGGGCCGAGTTCCAATTCAAGTATGTTTCCTCATATCTACTTGCGCGCAAATACCCTTAGGAAACGCAAATAATCAACCTCTTCTACCACAACTATGTTTTAATTAGAAGAATATGTGTGCATAACAATCATTATTATCCCCTGTTCTTACAATCTAAAAAGTAATTTCTGTCTTTATAAAGGCTGTTTCATTAAGACGAATTATATATAAGGGCGTTTCATTAAGACGGATCAAAGTCAGTGTTATTAGTGAAAATTTATCTATTTCTCTATTGGATCATGTGAGTTAAGTCCTGGAAATTATGTGTGAAAAATAATATTGCCAAAATGTCTGAAAGAAAATCTGAAAGAAAAAGAAAAAAAAAATAACATTTGACGCTTAAACTTAATTCAAATTGAAAATCGTTCCTAGTTATTGGAAAACAGCTTAAACCTACAAGAGATTGAGAAGCTGTAGAAAAAACAAATTAATCAAGCAAAACAAAACTTTATAAAATATCGCCCTTGGCAAGCAAACGCACAATATATAATCCATTCGTTATTTCATTAGAAACAAAGGAAAGAGTGCTGAAGCATGATGTAATGTCAATCCTCCTATAATGGAACAGATGCTGGAAAATTTCTTACAGAAGAGAAGGAGACGTGGTAACAGAAAACTTTGCAAAGGAAAAAAAAAAAAATAAATGGCAAAAGTTTCACTCGACTCTTCACCCCCCCAAAAAATGAAACACAATGTATTGTTCGTATACTGGCACAAAGAAAATCGAAAGCAAAGACTTTATTTTAGGCACGTGGAGCATCAAATTAAAAGAAAAATGAAGACACATTCTTTGCGAACTTTCCCCGTCGTCGCCTCACACGACTGTTCTTCACAGTTTGTATGGTTGTTAGCGAAAAAGAGAGTTCAATTTTCGAGCTACGAATTCGAAGATTTAGAATCTATGGATAATAGCAATTCAAATTTCAAGTATTAAATCGGACGACGGACGATTTATTAGCTAAGAAGCCCTCAGTATTGTAATAGGGAAAAATACCAACCAAAATCTAATAAAATTATTAAGAAATAGGAATATTTCGTTAGAAACAAAGAAGAGAGTGCTGAAAGGCTTTGTAATATCAATCCTTCTATATATGCGATTCTGGAACGCTATTTTGAGTATACTAAATTCGTGAGCAGGAAAAAAAGTTTTAAAGGAAACGGCAACAAAAAGTAGATTGTATCAGAATTAGATATTAAAATGTTAATATTTTTGTGACGCACAATGAGGAATTTGAAATTCATAGATCATACTGATTGTGGGTGCGGCTGGTAACCTGCATATCAATGAATAGCAGGGTAGGGACAAGCAGGGAAAGATATTACTTAGATTTCCGAAGGATAGGAAGTTGGGGAGAACCATTTTCAGGTACGTTCTGAAGGGAAAAAACACACAAGGAAGAAGGTTCACTTTGGTATTCATTAATTCCTTGACAAAAAATCCCAAGATGGATCGGCAATGTTATAGTTCCTGGCTTGGCATTTCGTCTTTAGTTGCTTTTGAAGCGCCGATACGTAGCCATTTTGTGCCTCTTTATAAAAGATTTTACAGTAGGTATTCTGAAGTGATTTCTGTGTCGGTACGTTGGCTTTACGAATTTAAGCGCAGACAGGTTGCATAATTTCACTTTTATGCAATTGCTAGTTTTAACCTTAAGTTGTATCCTAAATCTCGCTTCTGGAAATGACTCCTGGCTTCCAGCTTTCTGTCAACTCTGACCTTCAAAAATTTATATGCAATCTCATTCGTCATCTACTTTCTCCTTGATAATTTTCTTCTTTTGGCCTCTATGTTTCTTTCATTTTCAGTAATCCCTTGCGCCATATTTGCATTTATTGCTTTAATTGGGTCGGAGCGATTAAACAAATCGCTAGATTTAAAGATCTGCAGTATGCTTCTGCAATGTGCCTAGAAGTAATAAGGCTTGCATTCCGATGGTAACAACTGACTGTGAAATCAGTTTTCCAAATTTATTTCTTTTTATGCGCTGTGTCATTACAGGACGTAGGCGATCATGGCCCTCCACTTTCCCCGATCCCTTGTGTTTTATGTTCCTGCCAACTCCCTCAGACCACGTTCCGCCATTCACCTGCCCAAGCCCGCCATTCACCTGCCCAAGCCCGCCATCTACCTGCCCAAGCCCGCCACGTATGACATGCGCTGCTTTCCACTGTGACTTTTTCCCTCCATTCGTCACATGAGTATCAGATTCTCAAGGCTCCCCTTTCTCATCACGTGTCCCAGAAATTTCGTCTGCCTCTTCCTTATGTTAAGCATAAGCTTCCTCCTTGTTTGCATCCTCTCCAAGACCTCATCATTGCTCTAACCACTACCCCAAATTCAAGTGCACATATTCGCCTATCTGTTGTTTTCTCTAAATTTATATTCCAACAAGTCATTTAAAAGCGATAGACAGTAACATTTAAAGTCTACTCAACTATGAAAATCTCTCGGGTAGGCATTGAATATTATTAAGTTACTGTGTTGCTCATCTGCATATCATGAAATCGTTATTTATTTAGCGCCGTCGTTTAAAATCATAAAACGATAATAAACTGTACATATTCTTTTGCGCTTAAGCAAAATTTGTTCATAATTAACCTGATTCTACCAGCTGTCGTGCTATTTTTAAAAGCCATCGAGAAAAGATCGTCTGATTCATATACGATATAATAATGGGATAGAGTGTGTCTTATGTATTGTTTTTTATTGAGTGTGCAGCCAGGACTCTGTGTTTCATTCTCTTGGATTGGTTAATATCAGATAATTGTACCTAGACGAATGTGTCTTATTGAAAACTAGCAGGATGGCCCGGCGTTTCCCGTACTTGATTAAAAAATCGTACGATTCATGCAGCAATCGCTATCACTTGACTTAAAATATTTTTACCCTTCCTTTCCCTTAAAGTAGTGCCCTTTGCTGTTCTGATGTTGCTGCATGCCTTACTTCTTGCCTATCTCACAATGCGAATTTTTTCTAAGCTCTATACTAAACATTAAAGCTGTTATGAAAAAAGAACTAAACAAAATGAACACAAAACGATCAGCTTTAAAAAAAAGGACTCGTAACTGGAAAAACCGAATGAAAAAAGAATGTTAACAACAAATACTTTTTCACACCCAACCCAGTTCTGCGGAATCAGAATCAACGTTGAGTTTAAGCAAGCGAATGAACCAATTGGAGTCAAGTACCATGTAGATTTAAATTTTTCCCACTTGTGACGACTGCAGCTATCGATTTATTTTTGCATGCTTGTTAACATTCGTGTATGTAAGCTGTTGGCAGCCAGCTATAGGCTCTCACGCTGGCCAGTAAAAAATGGCCGCAAACTACATGAAAACTGCCGTAGAAGCATGAAAAAAATCGATTATTTCCACTATCGATGGGAGTTGGGAAATGCAAAGTCGGTCTTGGCCTTTCTACTATCTTGTAGTATGTGCATGTCAATTTTTGTGCAAATCCGTCTAAAATTGCGGCCGTGCATTCGTTACACACACACACACACACACACACGCACACGCACACACACACACGTCCTGCCTTTTATCGATAGAGATAGATCGTAACAGTAGATATAAAGATCAAATAAAACTGTCAATATGTTTTATTTGTTTTGGCGGCAATATATCATGACATTTTGAAGCAGTGAGATCTGTTCTTCAACATAATCTTTAATTTGTTAACGAAAAATTATTTCAAGAAATTATAACAGATGAACATCATTAATCCTTTAATTCAATTCCTTGAAGTATTTTCATTTTGAATCTCTAGTTTAAATCTTGAGAAATTATACATGAATGATGTTATTTTTTTACCCGGAGGATATCAATTATACTTATAAATCGTTAAAATAATTCACAGCTAGTATTTTGACTTACCACATGTCCCGAAATAACGGATTTGCAACATCAAGTTTCTAAAGTATATTTTGCTCAAATGCTTCAGTTTATAACTCCGAAAGCTTTGCTAAAGTTTATTCATCGCAGGAATAACTCTTATTCAACAATGGTCTATTTTCAGATCTATCTATCTATCTATCTATCTATCTATCTATCTATCTATCTATCTATCTATCTATCTATCTATCTATCTATCTTGTTCTAGTCAGATCTATCCCAGTAATTTCCTTATCTATCTATCTATCTATCTATCTATCTATCTATCTATCTATCGTCTTAAGATCTAATTCAGTATTTTCCTTATCTATCTATCTATCTATCTATCTATCTATCTATCGTCTTCAGATCTAACTCAGTATTTTCCCTATCTATCTATCTATCTATCTATCTATCTATCTATATTGTTCTCTTCAGATCTATCTCTGTCTTTTCCTTATCTATCTATCGTCTTCAGATCTAATTCAGTATTTTCCTTATCTATCTATCTATCTATCTATCTATCTATCTATCTATCTTGTTCTCTTAAGATCTATCTCTTTCCTTTCCTTATCTATCTATCTATCTATCTATCTATCTATCTATCTATCTATCTATCTATCTATCTATCGTCTTCAGATCTAATTCAGTATTTTCCTTATCTATCTATCTATCTATCTATCTATCTATCTACATCGAAGAACAGAGCACACGCTATATTACGTAATTCTCGAACACTCAGAAACCGACCATAGCGATTTAAAAGGCCAATGTTGTAAAAACGCATTAGATTTTAACTTTCTAATAATTTCAAACAACATCATTGTCTGCAATCTCTAATTGCGATAATATAGACCATTGATGACAAGCGTCAAATTCCACTTTATTTAAATACGTGTCCGTGAGAGTGACGATAATGTGTTTTTTTTTTTTTTTGTTCAACAAGCACTTTCAAAACATTGTATATTTTATATGATGTCAAGAGATATTTTGGAATAAAAACGTTTTATACCTCCCTACCATTATTTGAGTTTCCTTCAATACGTACGAATTCAACGTCAGTGAATTATAGACAAAAGAATTCAGAGATAATTTCAGTTCACTCTAATGATATATATAATTTATTTTGGCTCACGGCCATATCACGTTGAAACAGCGCTTCCTGGATGATCACTAAAATTAAGCGATATTGGACCTGGTCTGTAGCTAGATACGTGACAGCTTAGAAATTCCAAGTTCCTTGAGTTTGGAGGTGTGGCTGGTGTAATGGATAATGGTTTGGAATATATAATCGGAGAGCCTAGTTCCAAGACCCACATTGGTTCGCTATATTCACACAAATAGCCACGGGAAAGTTATGAAAACACTTTCTTTACCCACAGCTATGATTTACTTAGTATAAATTATATAAAAAAAAAAACAATATATCAAATAAAATTTTTTATAACCGAGAAATATTTTCTAAAACTTTAAATAACCAGCAAATGGGCGATAAGCCATAGAATACGAATCAATCATTCAAAGGAAGTATTGCAGAACTAATATATCATGTCTGTCCTCTGAGAAGTCTGTGAATGCTCGACGATATATCGCGCATGCGACGAATGGAATATGGCTTTACATTTGAATACTGAGAATAGCATTGGCTAAAATGTTAAGGATCGAAGAAATTTCAACGAAAATGATAAGTAAAATGGCATGCATGAAATTAGAGAGAGTTAAAATTTCTGCGATAGTTAATAAGGAAAGATGACATGAGGAGATAAAAATTCCCACGGCATACTGAATTCAGCGTAGGCAAAAGACTGTGAGAAACGTTTAATCTACTTGACGAGATGATGATTGATGTGAGCGCGATGACACAGAAGAATGGTAAAATTTTTAATGCTGTTTCAGTGTTAAACCTGTATCTTCCTTAGACAATTTGATTACATTGAATTGTTAATCTCAGGCTATACATAGTTTAATTCAGCTTTCTGCCATGTGGTTAATTTCTAAGTGGAAAAAAGAAGGGATGGGTATATATCTATCTGTTGTAGAGTGAACGAAAATTTTTCTTCCTCCGTATGAATCCGAATACGTTCGTCGCCAAGTATGTATATGGCGAACAATTTTTTTTTCTCCGTATGAGTTCGAATCCTCGTCGTCAAGTGTTGTAGAGTAGTTTCACAGTGGAGGCTTGTATTTCACTAAGTCGGCCCTAAAATAGGTTTGACGTACAAAACGTTAGGAACTTGATATAATAGGTAATGACGCAGGAATCTAGATGTGGTGGCTGATACTTTAATATCCGACTAACGGTCGTCCGACATCGACTGAGTGACCAACTCACTGAGCGACTCAGCGACTGCAACTACTCCTACTTATTATTGGTGGGAGAGTCTATTAACTATAGAATAGGTGTGTTCCACTATAACACTATCGATGAAGAGTGTTCATACGCAAAAACTTTGTTTGGAATTCGATTCCATACCGATTAGTTTTTTCGCGCAAATAACCTCTACGCTACGCATTTGAATGTGGGGAACATATTTAATTATGGAGGACGCGACACTATTTTTAATATTATCGTGGATGTGAACTTTATCCAGTTTTCACATTGCTCAATAAATATTTTTGACATGGTTACACCCGATCTGATGTGCATCAATAAACTGGGTTTAGGCAACATTGTTTTTTTTTAATCATCTCCCCTCATGCCATGCAGCAAATCCACCAAGACACCAGATGTCACAAAGTACGAAAAAAGAGAAAAGCGAAACATGTTTACAGAGAGAGAACAATAGAAGTGTAATGAAGAAGACGACAGATAAAGATTTGCATTGCATTTGACTTTTTGAAGATCAATGTTGGTTGGAAAGCATGGACACGGAAGAGAGTTCGCCAAATAGAAAAAAGAAAATTGCTAGCATAGAACTTAGCGTTACATCTAGACAATTCAACTTCGAATTGAGAGGCCTTGCCTCGCCTTTAGTGCGGCGCTTAAATTCGTAAATTCTGGGTACCATAGGGAAGATTTCATCAAAAGAGTTACCATGAGATGGCCCAGGGAAGGTGTAATACGATGGTAGAATGTTTACTGAAATCGAGACGCTAAGGCTAATACCAATAATACTGTAGATTCCTATTTGGATTTTATGTAGAATCTCTAAATATGCAGCAGGAACACCGGAAAAGTTTGGCAGAAACATCAAAGAATGGTAGACTTATAAATATGTAAGATAGGTTCTAGATAGGAAAACTCTCTAGCACGACACAGTGAAAAGACTTTCATAGCAACACGCTTAGCAATGGATTCAAAATAACATTTCCACTTGATGTCAGCCGAGAATGTTTGCCTGAGAAAGCGCAATGAGTCACTCTAATGGAGGCTAATATGAGCCATATTGATTAGAGCCAGGATGCGGTCACTGCACGTGATTAATAGAAATAAATTTCGTTTTGGAAGCGTTAGAATTAAGACGTTATTCCTTGCCCCAGTTAACAACTTAAGTTATATTTTAAACGTATCGAAATGATCATATATACTTTCGAAACAGGAGTAAATTGTGTCATCAGCATAGACACCAATTTGGAGAACTAATGACCTCACAAAGGTCACTGCTGAAAATTAAAAACAATGTCGGAGAAAGTATAGTGATCATGAGGACACTTGCATTAGTAATTTGCAATTGTAGAAGTTTTTTTTTTAGTATAATAATGACAATTAGCAACTTTGTTTCAAACCAAGAATGAATCATCACATAGTTAAAATACAAGTTTATTGCGATGTACCTCCGGTAGGCCACATTATGTTGCAGTCTGCGCCAGTTAATTTCTGCTCATGCCAGATTTGATGACCGACTGTTTTTATTACCTTAGGCTTTTTCCTTATGAACGTAACTCGACATGACCATAAGCAACCAAAAATATAAACCTAAACCAACTAAAAATATTACCTAAACCCTTTAACATTTATTTCTCCAGCATCCGTGGTATTCGTACCAACTTCTGCAGTGTGGAATCTTTCCTCTTTGATACATCTCCTGATATACTAGCTCTCTGCGAGACTAACATCAACTTGTCAACCCCTTCCTCTCATTTCTCGGTTTGTGGCTACCTTCCTCTCTTTAGAAAGGACTCTAAAATCCAATTGCATGGCCTGTGAGTTTTTATGTCCGCGATGATCAACCGCTGGCTAGGGAACTCATTTGGAATCTTCAGACCATTCGTATATGTGTCTCCGTCTTTCTCTTCTCAATTCAGTAAGATATCTCTTCTTTCTCTATCATTCGCCTTCGTCTCAAGACTGTTGTGTACTCTATAGCATTTCTAATAATATAGGGCCATATAGCCATCTTCCTACACCCGTTTGTAAATATATTCGTGTTCGGCGACTTTAATGCCCACCATGACATGTGGCTTAAACAGTCTTTGACTGACCTCGCTAGCATCCAAACCCTTACCTTTTCCATCACTCAATCCTTTACGCAACTGGTTGATTTTTCTACGCGTTTCCCCAGAAACTTAAACCGTAACACTTCCCTTATCGATCTCAGTTGTACCTCCATCCTTGTTTCTTGTCGTGCTACGCAGGTCTGCCTTTTTGACATCTCTGATCACGCGTTGGCGTCTGTTAAAATCACCTTCCACTCACCCTCTAGCCACTAACCTCCTACTAATACAATATATTTCTGTTATCAACGCGCAGGCTGGGATTTGTTCCATGATTTCCTTCGTGACGTACCTTAGAATGTGGTATTTAATTATCTCGTACATATATGTGCGCCTGAGGTCTCCTGGTTAAAAGCCGACATAAAAGCTTTATCCTTGCTTTCCATCCTGTTAGAAGTCCTCCTAGGTCGTTCTGGACTTTAAGAAGTCTGGAGACCTTTCTGACCCATCTAACTACCGTTACATTGGTCTCCTATCACTCTACCAGTATCATACCAATACTAACGGCGAAGCATGAACTACTGCTCTAGCTATATCGGCAAGTTTGACATGCTGGTCTTCTACGTAAGCTTCATGTAGATATACGGCATCACAGGACGATTATTTGATTTAATCCAATAATTTTGTCTAACCGTGAAATGAACTTTGTCTTGAACGGGATTTCTTCCAGTTTCTCAAGGATCTATTCTTGGTACTACACTGTTTCTGATTTTCCTTAGTGATTTTCCTGACGTCAGCAGTTCTCAAATCGGATGACACTACCATTTGCTCCTGTCTCAATAGTAAATACGGCATTGTTGATAAAGTTAGCCTGGCCGTTGGTCTCGAAAATGACGTCCAATCTTTGGATGACTGGGACAGGAAATGGCTTGTTAATTTTTAATGCATCCAAAACAAAACTACTGTCTTTACTCACCATAGAGAAATATCCATGCCTGCTATCAGCATCGTTGATGCTCAACTCCATGAGGGCCCTCCTCTGCGCGTTCTTGCTCTCATGTCCTCCACTGACCTGAGGCGGAACAACTACATTGAATCGATTGATGCATTTACCGCAACAAAAGTTAGTTCTCTATGTTGCGCCAGAAGGTTTTTCTCGTCTAAGTTCATCCTTTACATCTACAAATCTATTATTATGATATGCATGAAATACTGTTGCCATAAATGGTCTGGTGCACCTGTGGTTCATCTCGAGTTTTCTCGACAAAATCCAAAGAAGGCATGCAATGTGATCGGTCCTGACACGGGGTCCCAAATCCAGTCACTTTCTCACCGACGTATTGTGGCTTCTCTTTTCTATAAATATTTTCATGCCATCTGCTCTGACGTTTTTCCCTGGTACCCGACCGCATGAATTTAAGCGTGATACTAGGTTGTCACTTCGGTCCCACCTGTTTACTGCCGCAACAGTTAAATGTGACTGACTCTTATACACCAACTGCTTCTTCTTTCGCACTTCTCGAGAGTGGAACTCGCTTCTTCTTACTTGCTTCCCTGATAACAGTAATCTGCAATAATTTAAACGCAGTATCAATCGATATCTTCTGTGGACTTGAACCCCGTTCTTCTTTTTATATTTTTCAGCCGCCACTTATTCCCAGTCTTTTCACTTACACTCTCTGTAGTCCCTTGCATACTAATGGCACTTCCGCTTTGCTTGAGGTGAATTGTTTCATATATATATATATATATATATATATATATATATATATATATATATATATATATATATATATGAAGAAATATAGTCTTAACTGTTATATAACGATAAAAAAATACTACGTTACTTAGAAATCGAAAACTGAAAAGAGAAAATATACAGTATAACAAATAAATAATAACAAGTAAAATAAATTGACCTAAATTCATGCAAATAAATAGATAAACCAATCCCGATAAACTAACCGTTAGAAAAAACAAATAAAGATAATCAATCCAAATAAATAAATTAAGTAATAAACAAATTAAAAACCGTTCCCGCCAAAATAATAGTTAGAATAAACTACAACAACCAACCCCAAAATTGAATAAATAGCTTTATCTTCCCAAACCAAAACAAATCTATTACATAAGCGATATAAACATACTTTTACTACGTTAATAAAAACAACGATTAAATAACAAATTAAATAAATATATATATATATATATATATATATATATAAGATAAGAAATAAAAATAAAAAATAAAAATAAATAAAAACAAGTAAAATAAGTTAACCAAAATAAAAAAAAAATGAACGACTTCCGGTAAAATAACCGCCAAAATAGACTACCCACAATGCACCACTGACCCGTATATATATAAATAGCCGAAAAAAATAACAACACACGTGGCATGACGATTGCATCTAGCATGAAACAGACTGTCGCTTCTAAGTTGTTCTATATATATATATATATATATATATATATATATATATATATATATATATATATATATTGATATAATCCGCACGTCATCGTAAAATTTGTCCATAGTATAACATAAATTTATTCTTATTATGATATATTTAATCATAATTTATTATGTGTCATGCCCGATACACACTTAAGCGATCATGTATCTTTCGATACATGACTGACAGGGCAGGGTTTTCCCCCGCAGTAGGTTGCCATTTCTTTCTTCAATAGACCAGTTGTCATCCAAGAATATAGAACCCGGTCTGTCTTGCTATTTATCTGTAACTGAAGGTGGGAGTGGATTCGTATCTTTCCCAAGGGTATTAGCACGTAATGTAATCGATTCGACTGGAATTCGAACTCGTCTCTCCGATTCCTCAAACTGAGCTGCTACCCATTACTCCACAGTTTCTCCTTTTGTTTAATAGTGATCTCTTATCAGGAGGCACAAACAAGTTTAATTTCGCATGTAATAAAAAAAAAAATTATTTTTAACACCCCTGCGCAAGCAAATATACCCAAATTTCATATTTTGAAGAACTGGTTTGGTTTCTTCTTCTCTTCAGCATATTTTGCAGCGTCGGGGAATCGACAGTAGCGGGAATAGTTGGCGGACGACTTTTAACGCAGAAAAGAATTCAGTCACAATTACAACAGTAGAGTTGAACCAAAGGAGTGAAATATGAAAAACACAGATATGGGTGGCGATATATCCCTTGTGTTGCATACACATTAAGGCAACACATCGACTAACATACATGCACAACAGAGAAGCAAACCTTATCTATTTCCATTGACTTTGTTTATTTTAATGTTACTTTTATTATCAGATTTTTTTTTCTATTTAAGCTTCTTTAATTACACAAGGGAAATCAGTTTCAGTTGAGTCGATCCTTTGAAAAAGACAATTCTGCTGAGAGGGTATCATAGTAAGACACGTAAAAGTTTAACGCAATTTACTTTAGTTGCATTTTCACATATAATTCTCAGCAAGATCTTTAGTATTTTCTTTCATTCATTGTTATTTATTTTTTTCCATTCATTCTTATTTATTTTTTTTTTCATTCACTCTGTTTTATTTTTTCTTGTTATGCTATTTACACTTTCATTGATATATTTATGTTATTTTTTTTCTTCAATATTTCCTCTCTTGCTTATATTTTTTCGGTCCAATTTGTATTTAATATCTTGACGATTTATAAACATCTTTTCTAACTCCCGTTCTAGTTTTAATTACGTTCTCCTTTCTGCAAATGGCACTTCTGTGCGTTTCTTTATTTAATTCAAACCTGTCATTAGATATTTTCAGGGCTTGATTCCTTCTTTTTTTTTTGTTAGATAATTTGTTTGTTACACTATCTTCCCTAATATATTTTCTTACATTATATTTTCTTTATTTTAGTTTTATTCTTACTCAGATATTTTTAAAGTTTTTATTCATCTGCAGCTTTTTATTTTCGTCTTTTCTTTCTTTGTCTTTCTATCCTTCTTTTTATTCCCTCTTTCTTCGAACTCTGAGGATATCTATATTGATTTATTTCGATCCTTATCTTTATATTTCATTCATTACCTTTAATCTTGCGTCTCCTTTCTATCTTTTTTCTTTCTCGTTTCTCCTAAGTGATATTTGCTTCTTTCCTTGGTAAAGATATTTCTCAGATAATAAAATATATTTCATTTTTTTATTTATCTCTTCCTCTCCTCATTCGATCTAAATGTCACATGCACCATTTTGTTAACCCCCCTCTTATCTCTGAACCAGCCACTATATAGCTGTCACATCAAACTTGTAATCGTTCTTATTTTTAAACTATGATGTTTTTTTTTCTTTTTTTTATTATTAATTGTTCTTTCTTTGATTTCTAACACTTTTATCTCTTTCATTCCATCAATGTTACTTTCCATTGCGAGTTCGTCATATCTTTATTCCTTTAATATGCACATATTCCTTTCACGGCAACTTTCTTTCTTTCGCTATCATTCGTTTGTCTTTAATTTTCCATTCTCGATTACCGCGCGCAATCTTTTTCCTTGACGTTTTCCAATTTTGTATCTACTCAAGCTATACTTACAATGCAGTAAAGAAAATTATTTCCTTTTATCTCCCTTACTCTTTGATATCACGATTACTGCACAAACATACATTATTTCATATGTAAATTCCAATGATTGCGATTGTCGTTTCAGGTCGCTTTCCGTAATTGCTTTTCAGCCCCCCACCTTTTTTTTTCCGTTTCTTGCGATCAATCACACGATAAAATTCAACTACCACATGATTTGGGAAGCTTTTTCGCCAGGTTACTACATCGTTCGTCGAATTCTCTTATGTCCATCTGCTTTACTATACATAAACGTATCTACATAGAAAGCAGTAAAAAAAAAAAGTTAAAATAACTGATCCCAAACGGATCTAAGTTGGCCTGAATATTTCAAAAGCAAACATGATTAATTTGGAAAAAAAGACAAGTGCAGCTGAACACTAATACTCGTAATTGACAAGTTTAAATCTCACAGATTTTCACACACACACACACACACACACACACACACACACACACATACATATATATATATATATATATATGAATGAAAGACACATACTGGGTGCAGTGGATAAAATTGTTATCTAAATTACACAAAAATGAAAATAACACTGACATCTAATTTTAACAGATATGATTACCAAAACTACACAAAAATATATTGAAATACAAAAGAGTAAATTCCTTCAATAAAATCGACAATGGCTTTAACCACGGCCACTTGACGACTTCAGAATCTCTTGCCTCTCTTCTGGTCTGTCTCCCTGGTGAATACTTCCACAATATCTTGCCTCCAGTTCATATTTGCCATTACAAGGAGTTTCGATGGTCTCTCTCAAATCCTTTCCGTACATAACAGTAAAGGTGGTTGCAGAACAATTATATTACATTTTCCAAGCTACCGACCCTGGGTAGTCTTTTTTTAACCGCATCTAACTCTTTCTGAATATTCTGAGATTGTCACCCAAATAAACTGAAGTGTTGATATTTGAGTTTCCGTCGCAAATTTAAAGCAGTAAATCATACAGTTTCCAAATTTCTGTCGATGTGAATTGCGTCATGGTGCTCTGTTTTTCACAGATAATGCTCATCTGATCCAACAGTCGACAAAATCAAAAACAACCAGCGCGCATGCGCGACATAAAAAATATAAAATGATGACTGATTCCCCATCTGCCCTGTATTTTCGTATATCTTGCTCGCTGTCTGGGCTCTTAATATTTCATTTACAATTTGTTACTTTTCTTACTTAATTATTTCTCTTTTATTTTGTAGGTTTTTCTGAGAGCTTTGAAACTCACTGAATCTGTTCAAAAATAAACCATGAATTAAATTTCACTGAATTAACACATTTCGGCTGTGAATCATTAATTCTTTTATCTAACGTTGGATTTCGCAAACGTAGGCAGCAAAAGGGTATATCAATCCTCTGATCAATAATGAAATTTAAATTATTATGTACCTGGATTGGCGACCAAATAGCTAAAAATCTAAACATATAAATTTACTGTAATTAAACTGATATATCTCAAAAATTGATATATTTATTTTCAACGGTTTATCAACCTTTTGCTGGTTATTTAAAACAATAGAATATTTTTAGAATTCTAAGAATATTCCCGGCAAAATAATGATTTAATAATAAATGCCTTACTATTTATTCAATTGCTAAGAAGGGGAGAATAGTTGGGCTCATAACTTTTCCAAGAGAATTTGCGCATATTACTCTCCGATTTCAAATTCCTCGCCGTTTTCTATTAAACCACCTGGTATTCCCATGCGGTCACCCATCTAATTACTGACGTTGCTCGAAGTTTCTTATCTTCGCTGTTCAGACGAGCTTTAATGTGACATGTTCATAAAACTAAAACTGTTTAAAATCTAGTATTACAAGTTGATTTCCTGTTCAAATGAAAGAAAAATAAACATCTTTGGTAATACTGGCTTTAGAAATAATAAACGTATCCAACGTTGAAAATGTATGTAAGTATTACGTTTCCTGCACCTCTATTTGACCATGTGAAGGGTGTGAACGCTGAACACAGCACACCCGAGGAAGACAGTAGACCACATCGGTCGAAACGTTGTGGCATAAAACAAAGATGGAGACAATTGTCCGAAAATTAATAGTGTAAATGATGACAACTCAAAAGAAAACAGACACACATATACACATACGCGCACACTCATATATATATATATATATATATATATATATATATATATATATATATATATATTAGGTTGGTGCAAAAATAATGACGTAATAATGTCGTTTTTGACGTATTTTTAACGTAAAAACGACATTCTTACGTCATTATTTTTGCACCAACCTATTATATATATATCTGTGTGTGTGTGTGTGTGTGTGTGTGTGTGTGTGTGTGTGTGTGTGTGTGTGTGTGTGTGTTGCCCGAGATTTTCCAGTGTGATTTATGGTCACGACGTCGATAGAATTCGTCCCTGAAGATCACGTGTAAGTAAAACTAGTAATACGACTAGGGCTATCCTTTCATAGGATTCAATTCTACAAAAAGCCATGGTTTCAAGAGAATAAAACTTAATTAATCCACTAAGAGAGTCAGGTTGCAGGTGATACAATAGGTATTTTATATTATGTATACACCTGTAAATTAACTTTTTATTAAGTATTCTGTTATCGCAGCTCAAACATACTATAGCGTTTTTGTCTTCTCGATAAAGAGTAAACTTTTGTGCGCGCTCCAAAATTTTTAATTTTTTTTTTGACATGCTGAATTTTATCAAAATTTTGCTAATATGTGTATAAAATAGGTTTATATGCATTTTACATTCTTTCATATAGACTTTGGTGGCATGAAAATTGCGTACGGCGTATGTCTATTGCTTGTAAATCATTTATTAATATACTTTCTAGGTATTCTCTTCGTGATGGTTTTTGTTCATTTCTTTTTATTATGAGCCTACTTGGTTAGACAATCGGTGGAATGACTGCTATGAACACCTACTCCTCAAATTGATAGATAAATCGTAGAGATAAGTGCTGTGATTTATTGCCAACGAATAAAAATCGAACATTCTTCGGTCTCAACACCATATTTTTGTTCTTTCTTACCTTGAAATCAAAATACTATCACCACTTGACTGTATCCATTTTTGCGTTCGAAAGCTATTGCTTTTTTTGTGTTGATATTCTTAGCTTTTTGGTCGTAAGACACAGACACATACACACACACAGACAGACAGATGCACACACACACACTCATACACAAACACACACACACACAATATATATATATATATATATATATATATATATATATATATATATATATATATATATATATATATATATATCAAGATCAAGTGACGAGGCCAGTTTCTGCTAATAGGCAATCTTCAGATCATTGAAGATTGCGTTTAAGTATGAAACAGATTGTTGCTGGCCTTTGAACTCACTGTCCACTTTTACATTTGTATATTTACATACGTTATATTTTAAATGAAACATACCTTTAAACTATAGTTTTCCCATATATCTATGAATTGAAAATGGGTTTTAAAATTCGCCAGAACGATCTAAAACATTAAGAAATTATATATATATATATATATATATATATATATATATATATATATATATATATAAAGAACAGTAAGATGCATAATCCGGTTTTCTTGTTATTTTTTTTTATTTTTACAAAACAGTGCTCAATGTAAATTTACAGAGCATAAATATTCCAATATTCTGTTGAAGATGAAACGGAACTAATGCTTTTAATTAATTATATAATTAAATTTAAATATTTTAGCTTCCATTTTTGAAACATGGTTATTACTGTGTAGCGAAAAAACAATTTTAAATCTGTTTCAATATATATATATATATATATATATATATATATATATATATATATATATATATATACCCTTCTTTCCCAATTACCAAAACTTGATTTTTATTTCATCATTTATTTTTGGGTGTTCTCATTTATGTTAATTTGTTTACAATTTCTGAACAATCATCTTCCGAGAAGTTGCTAAAAATTAATTAAATAAATTTGAAAATCTAAAAGGAAATATACGATTGCCTCTTGTCATTTTTGTAATTCCGAAATGTGTAGAAATATATTCCAACTTACGGTGTGGACAACTTGACACGCGCGATGGCGTACGGCCGCTGAGGCCTTCAACGGTGCCATCTTAAAATTGTTTATCATGTTTTAGATCCATTTCTGGCCAATGGATGAATCTTATCCAAAAGGATTGTTTAAACCCTAGCGAAGAACAAAATAAGTGTTAGATTAGTAACAGAACGACCAATTGCACAATTAACGGTAACTGGGGATTGTAAAGCAGCAGAAGAGAATTTAGGAATCTCTATCTATAAAAGGCAGGATGTGTGGTGTGGTGTACCGAATAAACGGCCGCAATTTTCGATGGATTTGCACCAAAATTTACATGCACATGCTCCAAGTTAGCAGAAAGGCGAAGACCGACCTTGCATTTCCCAACTTCCATCGATAGTGGAAATAATCCATTTTTTCATGCTTCTACGGCAGTTTTCATGTATTTTGCGGCCACTTTGTACTGGGCAGAGTGAAAGCCAATAGCTGGCTGCCACG